TCATTCTCCGAGTGTGGATCCCTTGGCAGCCCAACTGCGATGTCCACACACAAGTGGGAGGTATCAGCAGGCTCAGAGGAACCCCAGGTTTTCCAGAAGATATGTAAAGCCATCTTTGGGGGAGGGGAGGGGGAGTTTGAACCTGGTTCTCCCTGATCCAGGTTCTCCCTGGATCTCCCTGATCCCAGTACTCTAACCGCTGCAGCACACTGGCTCTCAGGAAAGTGACTGGTGCAGCATACTTGTGCAGGGACTCTGTGGGAGCTCTGGATTGAGGACAATGAAGGCACATACACCTTCTTTCTTCTTTGGCGATCACTCGAAGCCGAGTAAAATTGTCTTCCATAAACACGGTTTTAACAATGAGTCCATAAGTGACTGTGGAGGCCAATTCTGGATCCACACGTCCTTCCACAGTGGAGACATTGGTTTCCGGGTAGGAGTTGATCACGGTGTGGATTTGCCAAGTGTGCCTTCCTCTTAGCACATTTCTCCCTTTTGTCCTGAGTTCGAGCGTCTTCAAAGCCCATGACACCTTTGGTAAAGGCTGTTCTCCAATGGGAGTGCTCTCAGGCAAGTGTTTCCCAATTGTCTGTGTTTATACTACATTTTTTTTAGATTTGCCTTGAGACTGTCTTTAAACCTCTTTTGTTGACCACCATACATGTGTGCTGTTAAAAATACAGTGCTGGGTGTGGGGATTAAAGGACCTTATGGGACAGGAGAAACCTTAAAACAGCACAGGAAGTTGTTTTATACTTAGGGGTCCATCTGACTCAGTATTGTTTACACTGGGTTTTCGTTAAGGGTTTCAGGCAGGGGACATTCCCAGCGCTACCTAGAGACAGAGGCAGCTTGTCCCCGTTTGCCATTTGAGGTGAAACAGAAAGTGCCAGACAACTCCTAGGGGCCAAGGTCCCTTCACTCCCCCCAATAAAATATTTAAGAGGGCAGGACCCCCCAAAGTTGATGGCATTCCAATGGTCTGCATGCACCATGTCTTGTGATGTGGGGATGGGGCCTACCCGAGCCCCCTCAATATTTTATTCAAGTTGTCACACCTGCCTGCCACTTGCCCTGCCATCTCTGCTGCTGCTGGAGAAGCGGTGCCAGCATAAGTGCCAATTTGGGGTGAGATCTCAGCCTAATTCGCCTGCACCTGTGGTGCTGCTGCCTCGTGGGCTTCCACTGCCTGAGGCAGTAGCTGTCGGGATCTCCGCTCAGCCAAGCTGATAAAGCTCATCTTCCGGAATCACCCTCCGATGTGATTGACGACCTGAGCCTCTGATAAGGCCTCAGGCACATCCCATTCAGCAGAGAATCCAAAATAGCACGCGGAAGTGATGAGATTTATGGCTACATGCTATGCTTTATTACTAAGACAGCTAAGGAAAATACATCCTCTCTCTATGAGAGCAACCGAGGAACAAAGGAACAAAGGAACAGGAAACCAGTAACGTCACATCCGTCTCCCATTCCCGTGAGACTTCCAACAGCCTGGACTGTCTCTGGAATGTAAACAGAGCCTTGTGGCTCTAAGCGGCTGCTCAGTGGCAAACAGAAACTAACACTAGCCTCAGCCCAGCTGAGGGAAATGCCAGGGATTGAAAGTGGGCATAGAAAGGTATCATGGAGCTACAGCCATTCTCCATCATAATACAGGCTAGTCTTTTCTGGCTGCAAAATTCTGGTGTGAGGTTTTGCAGCACTTCACACCATTAGCTTCTTTATGGGCACATTCACACCCCACTCATGTTCTTGACTTCAGTAGAACTGGCTTCCAAATAAATGTCCTTGGAATCAAAAGCGCTGACATTGACTTTAATGGGACAACCTCCCTACCGTGCCAGGGAGACCACCTTGACACAAAGAGTGGGAGGGAGGGAGAGAGAGAGGCTAGATATTGGGGTTCTCTTCCCACTCTTTTAACCACTAATATTCCGGCTTTCCTTTTCAGCCAAAGTTATCTACACGGCCAGGAAGCTCACTCGACGGCAGCTTTTCGGATGAGTCACCCAGCTCCCGCTTTTCCTTTTTTAAAAATAATACAAAAGAAAAGGGCTTTGCCTCTCCACTCCCCGAATGAACATGGAGGTGAAGGCTTGCATCAGAAGTGTAAACAGTGACACTGAAATGAGAACTATAATAAAAGCAAGGGGGGAAAGTATTTCATGTCAAGGACAGTGTGCTACATTTTCAGAGCAACCTGTAGCAATCAGTTTTGAACATCTTTCCATCATAGATCATTCTGTCTCTTCTCTTTGCTTGACCTGTAGTCAAGAATTCACAATGTCAAGCTAAGCATGGGGAGGGGGGGATTTTTAAGAGCAAAGGCAGCAACATAACGGCAAGGAAGCGTACCAGCATAATATAGGTGTGGGGGACCCATTCATATTTTGCTGGCACTAATTATCATTTTAGTGCTAGCAGAAATATTCCACTTTGAAGTTTGCATTCAGTTAAAAGCAGTTTTTGCACCTCAAAATATCCAGTGCAGGCAGATAGCTGTCACTCTTCTGCTTTTAGCAGCATGGGGGCAGGTCCCTGTGTAATAATCTCAATTACGGCTCCGGGAAATAAATTTCACATTTTTGCCAAACGTGAGCATTTGTTTCTTACTGGCGAGTTGTATTTCATTACCAGCTGTGGGATACACAAAGGTCTGAATTCCATTTGGGTGGCCCAGGGGTTTAGTGTTGTGTCCAGCTCACCATTAAAATTGTAATTAAATGTTGTAGCAGGGAGGTTATTCGCACACACAGAATTGGGTTTATTTTAGGGGTGGGTAATTTATCAATCAATCCCTTTTCACAGGGAACTCTAGAAATTGTAGTCCTGTGAGAGGAAGAAGGGTCTCATAACTACTCTCAGCAGCCTGAACAAACTACCGCTTTCAATGAATTGTGAGAATGTGGCCCAGCTCAAAGCAACGGCTGTAATCCAATGAATAGATTTCAGAACTTGGACATGAAAAGCACCAGAGATCTGGTAATTTTGCAAGGCAAGTTGTGTCCCTGGTCTAGGGCACATAATGGCATTCCTGAATGGGCTTCAACATTTGACCTCCGAGCCTGAGGTTAACCCATCCTTTCTCTAGCAGCTACTTATTCTGTTAAGCGAATGCAACAAGACGGTGCTTTAATTCTGAGCCAATCACAAAAGCAGGGATTCATGGAGAAAGATCAAGAGACAGTTTACATAACATACAAAGAACCCAGCTGGATGAGGGTGAAGGCACATCCAGTCCAGTATCCTGTACTCATAGTGACTAACCAGATGCCTGTTTGGGACACTGAAATATACTCGGAGTCCTGTACTGATTTCATGCTCTTTATTGCAGCTTGTAAAACAGTGATTGAATTGCCCCCCAAACTCAGGCTTTTATATACATTATTTACACAATGAGTCCCATCTGATTGGCTGATTCGGCTTCCCTCCTGGAGCCTGATTGGTGTCTTCCTGCAGGCCAATCAGTTGTTGCATTTTACAATCCTACCAGCCTAATAGGCTGATTAAATCCCCCCTGGAGCCTGATTGGTCTTTTCCTGCAGGCCAATCAGTTGTTGCATTCTAGGAACCTACTTGCCTATTGTTCTAGGACCCAAGCTTAGTACGTAACAGACACACAGAAGGAGGACATGAGCAAAACAGCACTTTCCCACTTGCGATCCTCAGCAACAGGTGTTTCAATCCTTAAAGGCCTCAAATAGTAGAGGCAGGGCAACAACCATCTTGACTGGTAGCTTTTTCTTCCATGAATTTTCCCAATTCTCTCTCAAAACCACCTATGTTGGTGGCCAGCAGTACATCTGCTGTAACCATGGGCTGCGCATAGAAATGCTTCTTTTTGCCTACCCTCATCTCCCAAAATTTAGCTTCATTGCATGACCCAGGGTTCTAGTGTTATGACAGAGGGAGAACAACTACTCTCCATCCACCTTCTCCACACAAACACAGTTCTACCTCTCTCACTTGCAACTTCCTCAGTGCCTTCAGTTCCCCTTATATTTTGAGAATCATGCATTTGTAGAGAAGCCAAGGCACCGTCAACATACTATCGCCATAAGGGGAAGTGCATTCCCCTTATGCTATAGACTCCCGCACATTCTGCAGATGCATAGGAAGCACACCTGTTCCACCATCAATGGGAGAGAAGCGTGACTCATCCTGGCTAGCTCTCAGGTTCCAACAGCTTGTGCCTGCCGATCGCAGGTGAACAATGCAGTTGCCATGGCGACTGGCTTAAGAGTGCAGGAAGCCTCGTTCTGACAAAGTTATATTAGGAAGTAAAGGCAGAGAAATTAATATATCCAGCCACAATGGCATTTGGTAAAAAAAAAAAATGTTTTTGATGCACAGGTTCTGCAAATAGCAGTGGATTTCTAGTGACCAGAAGTCAAACCTTCCGCTAAAAGCATCGGCAGTTGCAAATAACGGGTTTTGGACTGGATTAGCCAAATCCAAAACTGAGCATCTAGTAAATAGTACACCAAAAATCAGCCACGATGAATGATCCAATGCTCCCTAGGTTCTGATCCTACCCACATCCTGAATCATCACTACAATGCAAGTAAAGTCTTCATCAGTCTGGTGCCCTCTAGGCATAACTGGGACTTCAGCCCCTAAGAGCCCCAGACAGCATGGGCAGTGGTCAGGGTGATGAGAGGGATAATATAGCAATATCAGGAGGTGAAGGCCTTCCAAGCATATATCACATAAGGGTTAATTTGTTTGCAATAGGATGGTTTCATTCAACCAAAAAGAGGCCCACACCACATAACAAAACAGAAATAAATGAATATCAGTGGGCACCAAACACAGGTATATTAATTATTATTGTCGCCATTATTAAAGAGTCGCCTTTTGCATGCATTTCAAGGCAATTTACAAATATACCATAAAGTAGCTAAAAGTAGCTTTAAAAATGGCAGAAAACCCAATGAAAGATAGGTTTTCAAGCAATGCAAAATAAACACCTCTGTCCTGAACCCCTGGCCTACCTTGCAGCAAGTCAAGTCCAAAATTCAAATTTGGTTGGGGGTGGGTCCAATCCACACAAGCAAAGTCCAAAGGTGAGGAAATGCAGTCCAGGGTCAATCCAAGTAGCCAGCTCTGAAATCCAGCAGTCAGGATACAGTGCAGAATCAGACCTGAAACACAGTCCAGGAACAGCCAAATCAAGATCTGTCGATGTGGGCAGTTGAGCAAACACAGCCCTTTAGCTTTGCTTCCCTTTGCTGTTTTGCCTGCTGATTGCAGCACCTGGGCTTGATGAGGCAGATGACCCTCACCTGTTCTCAGTCTGCTCCAGCTGAGCAATCACACACCTCCTCCCAGAGATAGCCAGCCCCTCCTGGCCAGCTAGAAAGCTGGGCTATGGAGCCTTGCCTGCCTCAGCCTCCTAAAGCACCCCTCCTGCTTCTCCCTAGGCCTCTGCTCTGGTTCCTGTGTAAAGGTAAAGGAACCCCTGACCATTAGGTCCAGTCATGGCCGACTCTGGGGTTGCGGCGCTCATCTCACTTTACTGGCTGAGGGAGTCGATGTTTGTCCCACAGTTTTTTCCGGGTCATGTGGCCAGCATGACTAAGCCGCTTCTGGCGAACCAGAGCAGCGCACAGAAACGCCGTTTACCCTTCCCGCCGGAGCAGTACCTATTTATCTACTTGCACTTTGACGTGCTTTCGAACTGCTAGGTTGGCAGGAGCAGGGACCGAACAACGGGAGCTCACCCCGTCACGGGGATTCGAACCGCCAACCTTCTGATCAGCAAGTCCTAGGTTCTGTGGTTTAACCCACAGCGCCACCCGCATCCCTAGTTCCTGTGTACTGGCCCCCAACCCCTTGCCACCCTCCTCTGACAGATTCCTCTCTGCTCCAGTCAGTCATTCACACTTTTAAATGAAAAACAAAAACAAAAATCCACTTTTGTTTTGTTTCATAATGGAATAGAAACACTGGCAATTAATTTCCCAGTTCTGGGTGCATTGATAAATACCTATCTTTGAGGTGCTGAGTTCAATGGGTGTTTACTTTCATGATGTAGCAGCTATATGCATTGTTATTAGCCCCATTAAAAGCAGCACCGTTTAGTCTGTATGAAGATATTCTACATCACAGAGCATGAGAGAATTGGGTGTCCGGGTTAATAAGATCCTTCACATGCATCTCATTAAACAATAGCAGCAATGAGCCTAAATCTTGCATGTACATTAATTTGGATTAGGTTCAATTTATGAAAGGCGAAGAGATAAGGCATTCCTTTTTCAATGTGCAGAATTCTCTGCTGATGAGACACAGTGGCCCAGGCTAGTCCTTCCTTGAGAATATATAGCAAGGATGGGGAGTGTCTGGCCTATGGGCACAATTAGGCTTAGCCTAGGTATCAACTTGGCCCACAAGGCTGTTTCTCCAAAACCATACCCACCCAAGAAACATCAGGCATGGGGCAAGTAGAAGCACGGCTGTCAGTGCACAATTGGGAGCCTTAAGCTGTGTTTTCAATTGCTTGTCGCCAAGCCTGCTGAGATCAATGTGTCAGGAGCTCGTCCTACACTCGAGTAGGACCCTGGCAGAGACACATGCCCGACTGGCATGTTCTCTCCCTCCTGGTCTTTCATTCAGGAGCTTCAAAAGCTTTCTTCTGCCCAAACATCACAGCGACTGATGCCAACAGACATGGGCACTCTTAGGGATCACAGAGTCTTCACAGCTTGGGTAACAGACCTCAGCAACTCAGCATTTAGGCTAATCTACTTTATTTACATATAAACACACAGAGAGCACTGCAACATGGTTCCCTCTCTCTCTAGCATCAGACAGCAAAGAGAAAGAACAAAGGACAATAGTCCCACTTCATGGAACACAGTAACACAAACATCCTGTCTCCGTCACTTCCGACTCTGCGGAGCCAAAACATACACTGTCATGTGAAAGACAACAATCCCATGACTGCAATCATGGAGCAGGAATTCTAACACAATGGCCCTGAGCCGTTTCCCACTGAGAGCTCTAAAGTGCATCCCCACTGGGACTGAAGTCAGCACCTATCACAAAGGAAAAATGGGTCACCTAATGCCATGGTTCTCCACCCTGACCCAAGCTAAGTCACTGTGGTCCCATATAGGTGCATTGGGTGTTAGGGGATGGGGTACACATCATGCTCCTTCTGGGGTGGTTTGTCCACCTTTGGTCCCCATCCTGAACTCAACTCTCACCTGTGGCTCCTAGAAGCTGTCAGCATGCGACAGCAGCCACACCCTGGGAATGGCTTCGACTAGCTGGCTAAACCAGGCGAGAGTAGCCAATGGTCTCAATCCCTTGGTGAGTTAGGGATTTCCTCTGCATGCAAAGACAGACTCTAGGACAGGCATAGGCAAACTCTGGCCCTCCAGATGTTTGGGACTACAATTCCCATCATCCCTGACCACTGGTCCTGTTAGTGCCTGGATGATGGGAATTGTAGTCCCAAACATCTGGAGGGCCAGAGTTTGCCTATGCCTGTCCTAGAGTCTGTCTTTGCATGCAGGGGACGAGAACAATAGTGAATCCAATGGTCAAGAAGGCAATTTCCTGTACATGCTGTAGGGGGAAGTGAGGGGCTTGTCAACCTGGGAAAGGTAGCCCATCTAGCAGAAGGAAAACTGATCCTAAACCTCTGCTGCCTTGTGGCATATCTTTGGGAGAAGAAAAGGCTAAGGAGCATACCCTACACAAATTTGGAATGGAGTCCCTAAGATGGTTGGATGGTGCCTTGCATGCCTCCTTCTGCCAACTCCTGCAGCCAAACATATTGTTCTGTGTTCTTTTGGGACCACATCAGTGGGCTTAAACACCCTTAACTCTTTGCAGGATCATACCCATTCAGAGTGGGGGAGGCCCCTTTAATTAACACACCTTAAACGCTGTCAGTCAAAGAAAAACAAAGCTGTTGGGACAGGAGAGGGATTTCCTGTCCCCGTGCTGTCAATAATTAATACATTATTTACACTATCACACTCCTGCTTACCAACTTTCAAGATTCCATTTACACTCTGATCCTTCGCTCAGTAGCCAATTTAACGTCAGGCTGACCTTTTCTTGCTTATCAGATAAGAAAAGGATATCATCAAATATGTGCATTTATTATGGCAACTATATTCAGCGCTATTTTCTTTTTAAAAGGCATTTTAAAAGAATATTTTTTAAAGAATCTGTTAACAGCTAGCAACTCCATACCCTTTAATATTTCTCTGGTGAAAATAGGGACATCCTATTCAGCAGCAGCAGTAGTAGTAGTAGTAGTACCCCATCAATCTGGCTGGGATGTCCCAGCCATTCTGGGAAGCTTCCAACATATATATATAAAAAAAATTATTATTTTTTAAAAACTTCCTTATGCAGGGCTGCCTTCAGATGTTTTCCAAAGATTTGTATAGTTATTTATCTCCTTGGCTCAGAAGTCAAATAATTCCACACCCTCCAACATTTCTCTGATAAAAATAGGGACGTCCTAAGGAAAAGCAGGGCATTCTAGGATCAAATCAGAAATTGGGATGGCTTCTGTAAATCAGGGACTGTCCCTGGAAAATAGGGACACTTGGAAGGATTGCAACTCTGCATTGCTGTGTTGGAGGCGACAGTGTTTACACAACACACAAAGCTCTGTTAAAGAAAAAGAGTCTTGCTTATTAAATCCCAAAGGAACTGGCAGTGAGTTCAGAGCCGCCATACCACTAAACCAGTTATACAACAGGAAATCAGATGAAATAATCCCAAACACACTTCAGTCGAAGCTGAAGCACATTAAAAATGTTTGAAATATCTATTTCATCAGGCTCCAAATTAGTTACAGACTCCCAGAAGAAACATCACTGTATGTTTATAAGATGCCACGGAGATGTCATTTCATACAAAGTGTTCAATAAGGTCTGCATCTAAAAATCGTGTATATTATGATGGCATCCAAAACATCAGAGCATATGTAAGTTCCTGGGACCCCATGTGTTCCTGGGACTCCAATGCTCACTGACATTTGCTAGCATGACCAATGGCCAGGGATGATGGGCATTGTAGCTCAACATAGGTCTGACATTCCTCTAGAGCAGTGTTTCCCAACCTTGTGCCTCCAGCTGTTTTTGGACTACAATTCCCATCATCCCTTGCCACTGGTCTTGCTAGTCAGGGATGATGGGAGTTGTAGTTCAAAAACAGCTGGAGGCACAAGGTTGGGAAACACTGCTCTAGAGCAGTGATGGCCATACTTGGCCCTCCAGCTGTTTTGGGACTACAACTCCCACCATCCCTAGCTAACAGGACCAGTGGTCAGGGATCATGGGAATTGTAGTCCCAAAACAGCTGGAGGGCTAAGTTTGGCCATCACCGCTCTAGAGCAATGACTGACATGGTAAGAATTCAGAAGAGAGATGGCTAACAGGAAACGAGGCCTGTGACTTTTCAGAGATTTGCACAAGTAGTAACAAAATGGCACTGGGCTGTGGGCAAAGTAGAATATCCCCCCTCCAAAGCACAAAACCCCACTAGAAAGAAAAGGGGGGAATCTGCCTGCATTTAGAAATGGTGTGTATCAGGAAGAAAGCAAGGCTGAGCATTTCTCCCTTGGCATGCTTGTTTTCTGTATGCAGGGATATATATACACATACATACATACATACATACATACATACATACTGCTGAATTTAAGTAGTGCAGCCCAGAAAATCAATTGCTACTTGATAGTATAAATAGGCCCTTAGGTTGCTGTGGGGGTCCCTTCTGAATAGACACGTATTCAGAAATAAGTCCTACTGACTTGTGAATATTTGTGGGTGAGCAGATTTACCAATTAAAACTTCCGAACATTGTTTAAAAAGATTCACTGGAAAGGAAGAGGAAGGACAATTAGAGCTAGCAGGATGTGGCTGACTTCCCCTGATAAATATAATGTCATTGGGAGTGACTGTCTTTCTAGTTTTTTGTTTTGCCATGCTCTCCATGGCAGCCATTTTGTGTTATGCAATATACACACAACCCTCCCCAGCAAATATTTTGTGAGTGGCGCTCCGAGCGCTCTCTGCAAATTTGAAATGTACCCTGTGGTCAGAAAAGGTTGGCAGATCCTCTTTTGAGTATATGGAATATCAACATAATATATATTTATATATAGTTCAATTTGTAGTATTTAATGGTGATTTATTACCTAGCAACCCTGAACGACGATTCACTAGTTACGTAATAGTTTGCCCATCTGGTGAATCAGCATTTGTGGTTATTAATGAATGTATCTGCCTTATCCAACCTCCTTTAATGGA